TTAACTAATTAATTAATTATATAAAATTTAACACTAATAAATATATGTATATTTGAAAATAAAAGTCTTTTTAATCAAATGATTATATATATTTAGATTAATCTAAAAATTAATATATATATAATTTATATATCAATAAAAACATTAAATTCAACTTGTGATTTTTAAAAATATTTATTAGAGTGTATTATTTTTAAAGCTAGGGCTTTCCTTTTTTAATAAAAATCAAGATCCGTATGTATTGTTTTATCTATAAATAAAGTAAGAATTCACTTACATACAAATTTGATATGTTACACTTATATAAAGTTTTAACTATTTATTTATCTATTTTTAATGATTAAGATTTATTTACATTTATTGAAAATAATTTAGGGATCAAAAGTGTTCAAAATAAAAAGTTTAAGTACTAAAATTGATATTTAATTTTTTTAAAAATGAAACTTGGTTCATACCAATTAATTCTCAAAATAACAAGTTACCATATTTTTATTTCATGTGTGATGGTTGGTTACTTATGTTAGTTTATCGAGTAAAGGCACAAATAAAAATATCAACTTTACATTTTTTTATATTTAAGGATGTTAATTTTATTAGTTTTTAAATAAAGATGTTAACATTTAATTTTTTTTTAAATAAGGATATCAACTTTTAATTTTTTCTATTTAAAGATGTTAACTTTCAACTTTTTCTATTTAAAGATTAATTGGGTGGTGATGCTAACATGGCTAATATATTTTTTTAGGTTAAATATTTGAATTGGTCCCTCAACTTTTATTTTTGAACCAATTCATCCTTGAACTTCAGAAAGTACTAAAAACGTCCTTTAACTTCAATTTTATTTCGTCTTTTCGTCAGTTATGTGCTGATATAGCTAATTTTTTTGCTAAGTGATTAACTATTTTACATTTTCAATATTAGGTGGAAAATCCATTATGTAAAGATGATTATGTGGATTTTTTTAATTTTAAATAATTTAAAATTACTTTAATTCTTAATTTTACTTTATTTATATTTAAAAATTAAAACAATTAATATATTTTCCCATTTAATTAGTCCCACCTACCATAAGTAACTCTTAATTTATAAAG